TCTGCGCCTAACAAATGTGGTACTACGCACGACTGAAATTTTACGTTTATAATCGTAGCAACAGACCTCAGATGAGCCCAGACGCTCTGCGGCTCTTGTTTATTTGAGCGATATTCGAAAACCGAAATGGCGATCATTTAGGCGTAGCGCCATCTCTCATCAAGATTTCAGACTTTCAGATCTGAAACATTTATTTTCGCATCAAAACTTATGCATATATCATTATCAAGCATATATAATGGGAGATATGCTATATAATGGGAGTTCTCCCATATATACTCTTGCTTTATATATCCCCTCCCTCTTCTATTACACCCAAGGTGAGCTACAGTGTCACTGACACTTTCATTTTTTGATTGAGGTTGTGTACAAAAACGTGTGCTTATACACGAGTACATACAGTTATATGCTAAATTCACTCCTTTATAATCGAGGTGCATGTTGTCTGTTACTCCATGTCATTTTTGGTGCGCTGTCCGTTGTTACCCTTGCCTCTACTCACCCTCATCGTCATGTGTATCGGTGTTGGTGTGCGGGAGGGATACAGGGGATATATGGGAGGGATACAGGGGATCATATAAAGGGGATATATGGGAGGGATACAGGGGATCATATACAGGAGATATATGGGAGGCATACAGGGGATCATATACAGGGGATCATATAAAGGGGATGTATGGGAGGGATACAGCATGTGGAGTTCAGCAGTGTGTAACTAACACGCTGGCTGTGTTTCAGAGCTCGGGCGATCCCGTGCTTGCTGTGGAGTGCCATCCGCTCGACAAGAACACGATCGTCACGTGCGGCAAGGGCCACATCAACTTCTGGAGACTGGAGCCGAAGAACGCGCTGACGAAGCGCATGGGAGTGTTCGACGTGAGTGTGTGCGTGTGTGTGCGTGCGTGCGTGCGTGCATGCGTGCGTGCGTGCGTGTGTGTGTGTGTGTGTGTGTGTGTGTGTGTGTGTGTGTGTGTGTGCGTGCGTGCGTGCGTGCGTGCATGTGTGTAACTTTTATATTTATTAAAATTTATTACCCTAACCCTGTTTGTCTCGAATGCTCAAAGGTATTGTTGCCTGGCAAAAAAGTTATCTGATGTCAAAAAGGAATTGGATTTTGTTACTCAGGCAGAATCGATTAGATTAAATTTAGCATGCTTGGGAAACAATGTTGTGATGTAGAATTCACTGGACAGATAGGTCGGCTTGGGCTGCCCTCGGCCTTGCCATTGACCTTGTGGATGAGAGTCAGGAATAAGTCCTTAGGAGTGAATGCTGTGTCTCTTGTCTGAGTCTCTGTTCAGAGAAATCCAATCTCTGTAGGTTGATATGTAAAACTTGTATTAATAGTGTGCTACTTATATATGTGAAATATCATAATTCTGCCTTCTCATATCATGGAGTAAAAGTGAAACGCTTTATGCTAATTATATGGGGTTTGCATTAACAATGGATCGCGTTTTTTTCAGAAACAAGTGGAGAGACCGAAATACATTTTGTGCCTAACATTTGACGATAATGGTAATTGCCTCACCGGTGACTCGAATGGAAATATCATCTCCTGGGCAAGAGGTGAGCATTCAGTAGGTGCACAAACATAAGCTGTTATGTTCCTGCATGCATCATCTCAGAACCACTGCCTTATAATAATTATTATTATAAGGTACTGTAATATTATTATGATATTAAATATCATAATAATATTACAGAATGTTATACTAGCTATGTCATTATATATGCGTAAATATACATACGCACGCACATAGATGTACTCACGCATACATGCGTACTTACACACGTGTGTACGTACGTATGTAACATACCAGGAATAATGTTTGTAAACATCGTAGTTAATATATATATATCGCTGTTTAGTGTTACACAAGCCACATCGATGTTATACTGGTAATTACACTGTTAAGGTGATGCAGGATTATTTCTACCCATAGATGGTGGCACGATGTAATATTTTACTAAAGGTGTGCCAGCGCTTGTATATAGATTGGTTGGCCTTATTTCCATATACGTGGTAACGTGTTTATGGAATAAGTGATATATTGCGCAGACATGCTGTATTTTACATATTTAATGCATGCAATTGAATATTGTTATTCACAGGCATTTGTCACACTATCGGTGTGTGTGTGTGTGTGTGTGTCTGTGTGTGCGTGCGTGCGTGCGTGCGTGCGTGCGTGCGTGCGTGCATGTGTCATTCAACCGCCCCCACCTTTCTGTAATGTGACAGTGTGTGCTGTGACGTACTCCACTGTTGATGATCGTTTGCATTCTCAACACTATTGCATCTATCAGATTTTTTCTCCTTTAAAACAACTCTCTTCATTACATGTATTTGTATGTGAATTACATGCAATAAAAATTTAATAATAATAATAATAATTTCAGATACTCACAAGATTGGTAAGGTGGTAACAAAGGCTCATGATGGCGGCATCTTTTCGCTATGCATGTGTAAAGATGGCGCGATGGTGTCAGGCGGAGGCAAAGATAGAACCCTTGTCTGCTGGGAAGTCGAGTACTTCAACAAGCTGAAATCTCACGAGGTAAGCAGACCGCTACCTCTTTTCTGTTAAAGCCAGGATTGCAAACATATTTTTTCCAACCAGTCTCGTGTTTTCCCCACTTTTACGACACTTACCATTATTGCTTGAGTAACAGCGACTGTCTAAAGTAACGCTAACATGTCTTAGAACCTTCGTATTTGACTATATTCACCAAAACGTTGACACAAAACAATACATTTTTTATGCTATAATAGCATACATTCTTAAAGTTTTTCAAGTTGGTGTAATCAGTAATATATATCAGGTGAGACTATATTTATCTATATTTTTTTCGTATTGAGCATTTTGGAGCAATGATTTTTCATTAATTTAAGGTAACAACATAGTGTCACTCATCTTGTGATAACTGTACGTCACTCACTGACTGAGAAAATAGATATCAAAGTTGGAATGTTTTTTTAAGAGTTGATTTGAGTTTATTTTTTGCCGTCTGAGAATTTTGTCTTCATATTTCAAATTGTTTTACATCATTTATATCAAATTATTTATATCAAGATAAGGTAAGATATTGACACAGTTTTGCGTATTATTTACCCTTAAAAATGTGATGCATAGGATTGTGAGTTTGTAGGAAGGGATTTGGGAGGAACAATTTTACAGCGATCTTACATTTTCTTCGACAGTAGGAGTAACCTTGTGCATTCATTATATGAACTGTTCAATTGCAGATTCCAGAAGTGCTTGGACCGATCCGAACGATATCTCAGGGCAAAGGGAACATGCTGCTGGTGGGAACTACAAAGAACAACATCATACAGGGAACTATTGACCTCCGATTTAGCCTCATTGTGCAGGTAATTAATTAAGAAACCTTTTATGTTACCAATCATTCTGGAATTGGTAATTCATGTGCGTCCTACTTGGCCTATCCCTGACCCTATACTGTTGGGCATGAAAGATAAATGGAATGGAGTATTAAGAAAAAACATTAGTTTTATTACCTACCTAATCTAATATGTAAATGCTGTAGAGAGATAGTGTATCTTTTCACGTTATTTTACAACTGCTTGCACTATATGGAGGTACGATATAACTTGTGTCACTTCCCTCTATAAGCCTCTAGACTCGACTTTGCAGCAGCTTGTAAGGTAGATGTGACCTGGCAACAGGCTGATGCTGATTTAACCATGCTTAACAGCAAACGTAACGTGAATTCTAAGCAAAAAAATATATTTAAAAAAATCTAAAAGGCATCTTGATATGACAACTCTCATTAGCTATTGTATGTATGCGCAGGCATGCATGTAGCAGTGTTCTATGTGTGCGCGTGTGCATGTGTCCATAGGTGTGTAAGGGTCAGCATGAGTGTGTGTGTACATGGGTGAGGCATACCCTGTACCGATGTCACTTTTCTTATTGCGATTGCCTTGTCTTCATGGTTGTTACAGGGTCACGTGGATGAGTTGTGGGGATTGGCGGTGCACCCGAATCACCATCAGTTCCTGTCGTGCGGCTACGATCGCCAGATCTTCCTGTGGGACACGCTGACACACAGCACAATCTGGAGCAAAGACATACAAGTTAGTGTCGGCAAGACATCTCCTCTCTTTGACATCATTCGTATCACAAAGCAACCGTTACACTTGTGTAGTTCTTTTCTAGTAGGCACCCAAATGTGCGATTAAAGTCGTGTCAAGTTTTGAGGTTCCTGTTAGTAAAAATAATACTGTTCCTATTCGGCATATATTTTACTTTTGTTTAATGTGTTTCTATTTTCGCCACACCAGGATGGTGCGCACGCAGCTTGCTTCCACCCCAGTGGCAACTTGGTTGCTATAGCAACCCTGTCAAGCCGTTGGCTAGTGGTAGACCTTCTGACTAGAGAAGTAGTGGCAACGCATAGTGACGGAAACGAATCTCTTAGCTGTATTGCATTTTCCCCAGGTAAGATTAAAGGGATTTTCTTGGAATTTTGTTGTTGTTGAAAATTTACGAATGACAATTTGGTCTGTTGAACGATTTTCTCTTCCCAGTAAACCATGGAGCTTTGTATGCTGTCACGCGAATTGCTCGTGGCCTCGGCCTCATAACTGTTATTTCTCTTTGCAGATGGCCGCTTCATTGCTGTGGGGTCGCGAGACAACTGCATCTACCTGTACCAGGTCAGCGACGACGGGAGGAAGTTCACCAGGATCGGCCGATGCAGTGTAAGTGCTCAGCAATGTCTAATAGTGTGCGAACAGCACAACAGTAGACTATGGGACATCTTCAGTGAATCAATCGACTGAATGATGAAAATCAAATGAATCATGATCAATCGAATGTGACTGCGGGGAGGACCAGACTATGGAACAACATCTTCTGGAATGCCCCCTATTACCAGAGCCCTGTAGACCTGTAGACCTAGAGGGTTTTCAACCACCGTATCAGGTCCTGTGTGCTGCAGTGGCTAGGTCGAGTGTAGTGTAGTGACCTGAGAAGAAGAAGAAGCACAACAGTGTCTGATAGAAGGAAGTTCTTTGCATGCACAACTTCTACGTTGCTAGTTTGGTGACATGAAGAGCAATATGGTAAGATGACTCTAGAATCTAGATGGGATGCCGTGTTACTGGTCTCCATGGCTGTCACTTCTGTCTCTGCAGGGCCATACCAGCTTTGTTCTGCACATGGATTGGTCAACGGACAGCCAGTTTCTTCAGTCGAATTCTGGTGACTACGAAGTCCTCTTTTGTAAGTCTGTTGCTTTTCTGTAAGATTATTATAACATGCGCCATAACGGGCCCAATAGGTGGCGCCAAGTACTTCCCCGAAGCCAGTGGCAAACTACAGTGTGGCAGCCTGGACCGCGGTGGCATAAATTCGCTGTTCGTATTATATATTAAACGTTGGTTCTTCAGTCTTTACTTTGGAAATACAACTTTTTCACACAAAACACTGTTTCATTTCTGGTTGTGGTCACTAGCGTCATTGATTTGGACATGGAGACACATATAATCTTTTATCCTTTTTCTGTATAATTGACCTTTCGGTTTTGAGGACACTCTTAAGATGCTACTTAGCAGCAAAAATTTTACACACACACGTGAAAAATACATGTGAATTTTTCTGGCTTGACTGATCTAGCAACAATATCCAAGCGGTATGGGTATCTCACTCAAATGATGTTGTGATGTATTTGCTTTTGTGAAGGGAGTGCTGCAGTGTGCAGGCAGATAACTCAACCATCTAGCATGAGAGACGTGGAGTGGTCAACGCAGACGTGTACCCTTGGATTCAACGTCAGTGGTACGTGCCTTGCAATATGTGGCTGTCGGTGATGCCGCGTGTACATATGTAAAGCACCGACTGCGAAAAATAACAGTTGTCGGTGATGAAATTAATTCATTGATGCTTTTGTTAGCTCATCTGACGTAGTCAGGTGCAGCTTGTAGAATTTCATGATTGTCCGTCCGTGCGTCCGGCCGTCCGTCAACAGTTGGGCACAAATTTAAATGTAGTCAACTTGATTATCATGATTACTGATCGGCCGCGTGGGGCTCGGAGCGTCGCTGGCTCCGCGGGGGGCGCGGGCGTTTCTTGTCGGACGGTTTGGCGACTAGCAGGGCTGTTCCCTCGGCTCTGCTGGCGTGCTACTGCGCCGCTGCTACTGAGACCCGCTGCTGGGCTGGCTGACTCACTATTGGCGACTGGGGCTGCTAGCCTGCCTGCTCTACTACTACTGCTGCTGGGCTGGCAGCTACTTGCGACCGCCTACTGCTGCTGCGGGCTGCTTGTTCCACTTGATGCAGGCTCCTGCTGCTGCTGCCTGACTGCTGTTCGACTGCCTGGGGGCCCTCCGCGCCTGACTGACTGGAGAGCTGAAATAATAACAACAGGGTAAGTAATACACAAGTGCCAGCGGCAGTGCGCCATAGCAGGCAGGGCGCTAGTCCTGTGGCGGTGTCGTGGTGTTCTGCTGATAAAATTTCATTTGGTGCATAACAAGACTCTTAATACATAAGGTCTATGCCTTTCTATGTCTGTCGTTTACCCTTTCGTCCAGCCAAATTGGCAAACAATATATTTAGTCAGCTACACTTTCGCAACCCCACAGCTAAATCTCTATGATTGCATGGACACATGTGCATATGCACGAGTTGGAAGGCTAACCAATTATGATTAGAAGCGGTGCCAACCATGGGCGGACCCTGCCGTCCCGTGTTTTGCCTACCCACTACGAGCTATTCCACTGATTCAGCCGTAGACGCTGTCAAGGGTGCTATAGGACAGACCTGGGCTTTAGACAAATAATATGATTTAAGGAGGCGTAAACCTGTTCAACCCAACACATCTGTGCCTTGAGCAATTAAAGCTGTGGCAACTGTAACCTCCACATGTCACCACAGGTATGCTCTAATAATCTAGCAAGAGACCGCAGTTCAAGTGCCTTTGAGTTCTAACAGTCAACAAAGATCATGTTTTAGAACCCTCCCTCTGAGGGATCATAAAGGTTATTCGACACTGCAGCGACTCCTACTCTTTCGGCATCCGTACCAGCAGAAAGAAAGAGTACATTTCATGGCCCTTTCAATAGAAGGCCGATAAGAAAATGCTAAGGTCCTCAAGCTGAATACAAAAAAAAAGTTTTTTTCAAATCCCTCCGCTCAGACCCTGGATGCCTCAGAAAAATGTCTAAAATGCTTGCCCTTGTGCCCCCATTGACCTTTTGAGACCGTGTGTACCTCCACATTTCGGCACAGTGATGCTTTTTCCCCTACCATGATGCTAGTACGCACCGACCATAATCACGAGCCTAGCGATCCCCGCCGTTTAGTATGAAAAAATTTGTGGGCCAGCAATTCTGAAGCATTGTCTCCGCGTATATGATGAGCCTTAAGTTAAGCGGAGGGAATGTTCCCCCCTTCTTTTACACTCGTTGACCTTAATGAGCCATTTGACCCCCAGCCTTCACATCCGAACTAATTTTTCGGATTCCCCCCCCAAGTAGTCGTCGAATATCGTGACCGTACGTCGAGGGCGGACTGCTTTTCCGCTTTCCTCCCTCCGCTAACCATCTTTCCCTCCGTCCCCCTCACGTCTTTAATGATAA